TTCCTTAAACAACTCCTCTGAATTTTGCATGGAGTATGCTTATATTGTGGCCACAGGCTTTTCTCTTGGACAAAACACAGAGCACAGAGGGATAATAGTGATTGGGTGTTTGACAAAGGAGGAGGGGGATATTTCAGTAGGTCCACACTTACCCTGCTTCCTCACTTTCCCTTCCCCCAGGCCCATCTCTCCCTTCCCCTATGCCTGGAACTATTTTAAAAGAGAGAGTGAGAGAGCTGTTTCTGAGGGAAGGAGAGGACAAATAAGCATTCTGAATCAGAATGTTGATCCTTACCATGCTTGTTTACTCAAAGTTTGTATATTTAAGAAAAAACTCTACTGCCAAATCTACCCCCATGATAACTTCTGCACTAACTAGTTCATGTCTGTGGTGGTTTGTACTTCATTTGCTCTTGCAAAAATTATAAGCCTCGGTTTTCCCCTCCATTTCTCCCTAATGGCATAGAATGCTGCAAAGTGATCCCATATTTTCTCCTGAGTCATGCCAATTCAGGCACTTGGGGAAGTCTGAAGTACGTAGGCATTCTGGAACTTTCCAAGGCACACCGGAATGCTGGAGTAGCAGCAAAGCAACCTGCCCTGTACTGAGTTCATCTAGCCCAGTAGGGTTCACTCTGACCAGCAGTGATTCTCCAGGTTCCAGGAAGCAGTTAGTCTAGTCCTGCCTGGAGTTGCCAGGGAGTAAACTTAAGACCTTTCATGCTTTGCCACTGTACCCTTCCTTGGCATTCCTAAGACTTCTGGATGCATCATGTTTATGTCAATACGTTCACAGATGTTTGCAATATTACTCTAGAATAGGACACACACAGACATGGACACACAGGCACACACGCATGCACACACACAAGGGGGGGGCAGGTTCAGACCTTAAAGCAGAGGACAGACAACTTCTACTGTCCTGAAGTTTAATTCTCCACAGGCCCTACAAGAGCCACACCTTTTCCAGAATTCCCACCCCTGCACCACCAAACATGCCACTGAAATTCAGAAATTCTTGCCAGCAGACGAGATACAATTTTGCTATTAAACAAGGTGCATGGGGAACACCTCTCTTTAAAGCTAAATTGCACTTCCTAAAGCTTCTGGGGGGATTTATTTGGTTAAAACAAGATGCAACCCTACTTAACCCTAATAATAAGGAAGATAAAAATAAGGCTCTGTGCAGCACATGTTGAAAGGGAACCAGTATGATGCAAGTGACGAGGGTACCTGGGAAAAAATGAAAATAGCATTAAAGGGGCCCAAATTTCAGTCATGCTTATTTCCAACCCTAGCAATAAGGAACAAAACTGGGGTGGTAATTTTGATTGGAACAACAGCAAAGAGAGAAAGCATTATGTGCACACCTGCTCAAAATTGCAGCCTTCAGGGTCACACCTAAATGCTGAAGCTTCCATATTTATATTTGCATGTAACATGTAGTTCACATCTCAATTTGAAGAATCTAGATGTTTGTCATTCTAAATTTGTCTTGAGCAATGCATTCTCTGTCTACAAACCAAGTTATAACTGATTATTGAGGCATGCAGTGAGGTTCTGCTCTCATTTATGCTAATTATCTAATTTCCATGATGATTAGACTCTTATCTGGAAACACAGATGGCAAAGCTTCTCCATTTGTTTTTGCAGCAAGGCTTTCTAAACCCTGATGCTGTATCTGAGTAACAACATTGTCTTGCCCTTAAATTATTTTCCACAGAAACTTTCTATAACCTCAAGTCAGTGCACAGCCACACTGACTGGGAATTGTTGCAGAAGACTGGGAATTTTGCAATGTGAGGTCATGGCATAGTTGCCAGTGGGAGCACCTTATGCCTGCAGAACTGCCCGACCACAGTTTCTCTGAAACGGGAACAAACTTGTAAGGTGGGGTCTCCTTCCTGCTGTGGTTTTAAAAAAGGACAAGACAGGCCTTGCCTGTTAGTATTGATTGGTGGCTTTCATCTTCTTTTAGTTGTCTCTTTTCAAGCTCCTGTTATTTCTGCCTGCTTGATTTGTATTTTTAGCACTGTGGTACATGCATATATATTAATTAGACCTGTGTGACCATTGCCCTTTAAACATTGTTCTTTGTACTAGCAATCTTTCAGTTTTCCTTTGCTTCCTGAAGACCTGGGGCCGGACCTCCTGGGACATAGAGACTTATCACATGCATTAGTCCCACTGTCCCTGAAATCTCAGTATCCCGATGTTATAGGGCTTACCTTTCCATCTTTCTGCAATATCATATCCCTCCCCTCCTTCATACCAAATCCAGCCTATGCACAGCAGATGCCAGTGGGACATAAGGAACTCTGGACCATTTAATCTTCAGAAATTATATCTTACGGCTCCCTTTAAATTATATCCTATGGTGCACACACACATGTATACACACAGTACTGTAGAGCAGGGATAGGTGCTCAGAGGCATCAATGTGTCCCTGGCTTGGTGCCCACCAAGGTGCTTTGACCCCTCCACTGCAAAATAGATTTCTGTGGATTTAAAGAAGTTGTTTGGTGCCTTAAGGCTGAGATTCCTTCCCTGCCCTGTGCTGAGTCTTTTGAGCAGGTTGCTTGTCTTGGGCCATGCATCCCAGGACAGCTCCTCCAATTGGCCGATGTGTTCATGACCTGAAAAGCTTGCCTACCTCTGAACTGGTGGATCTGGTAACTTGAGTCACCAGCTCACTGTCCAGAATGTTGTTTGTCCTGTACTAATATAACTTCTGATTGGCTACATCAACTCTAACAAGGTTTGGACACTCCAGAGACATACAGATTTACAGAAGGAAGTTTGACTATGTAGATTCTACAATTTAGAATCATTTGGTTGTCTCTCATGGTAAAGGTTGTGCACCCTGAATTAATATTGTACTCCCACATGCTTGGGGCCTGTAAAACTGCTGGATAGTGGTCTCAGTGTCCCGATCTGTGTGTCCACTTTGAGGCTGCCTCTTCACCAAAATGAATGTGGGAAAGCTGGGCAAGTTCCATGTATTTATAGGAACTCTGGTGGCTACTGGAGCACTCTGACTTAATGCACACTATTTCAGTGACAGAAGCACCAGAAAATTCTTTATGTTTCTGTGTGAGTACTATTGAATGCACGATGAAGCATTACATCATATCAGTCTCCCAACTTTTCTTCCCTGCCCTTGTTCTTTGTCAAGAGCAAGGGACTTTACCCCAGCTCAAAGCACGACTGTTAATTCAAGGGGAGGTTACGCTTTTGTGTTCACATTCAATACTTCATTGTCCTTTTCAGTGAGCATTACTTCATTACTTTTTCTAACGCTCGTGTGGAGCAGTCCTTGTAGACAGCTTTGGCCTGAGAAAAATTAAAGGACTCACTTTTTAACTGAACTGTTCTGGGCTCAATACACATGAGCTTCAGTCAGTGATGTTCTCACAGAATGAAGAAAATTATTTATAAGGAGAGGGAATTCATTTAAGAAGGTTGCAGGAGAAAGTCGTGTGGAGGAGCTAAATTATAATTCTCAATTTAGTTAAGCCTATGTGTCTCCAATTACTTTCAGAAAAGGGTAAGAATTATTCTTGATGTGTAAATCTCTTAGTTTGCAAAGATTTGCCATTTGCTTTCAGACTTATGTGACTTCTTTGATCTGCTACTTTGCTGGTCTTACTTAAAATAAATAGTTTCTTTTATCTCTCTGTTTTACTGGACTTAATCTTCACAAAGATGGTTTAAATCCAAATTATTTGGGTTGGTTTCTATTATAACGTTTATTATTAAAAGCACACAAGTCTGAATTTTGTCTTGGAATTTGAGAAAGTAAACATTCATCTAACCCACAAGAGAAGGTTAAAATGAATTAAAGTGTATAGTGAGATATGCTGATGCAGGCGTCTCAGCATGGACATAAAAGTAGATGGAATTGCTCACAGATTGTTCAGGTGTTTTCAAAGTGGGCAGGGGAGATATCAGTGAATTTTTCAAAATAGAATTATAGCACGATGTTTGCTGCAACGGAAAATGAAATCGCCATTTCCTCTCAAGATTATTTTTCTTTAAGCACATGTGCCGGGGATTATAACAGCCTTCGCGAGCGCAGTGACCTCCAGATGTGTCTGAGCTTCCAGCATCCCCCAGGCACATAGCTGAGAGTTGTAGTGTAACGCATGGGGAAGGCTTGAATATAGCTAGTCCAGTCCTATCCTAGGAACATTGCATAGCACCTGCAAGACCAGACCGTCTGTTCTATCATCCTATTTGCCATATTTCACAGTGGGCCAGTAGTCGACCAGATTTTTTGAGACATTGCTGGTCCCCAGCAACTGCTATTCAGTAATCCAAGCTCACACCCGTACTATCCATGCATTTCACTGGCGCTGACCCTGACTTCCAAGGATTATAGAAGGCGAAGAAAAAAAATCTTCCCACTTTCTCTGCCACAAATGCAGTTTTATGAACTTCACTTCCTATTTCCCTGAGTCATATTTTCCTAGACTTAAAAACCATGAGCACACTAGCTCAGGCATTCCCAACCTGGCGTCCCCCAGATGTGTTCGACTGCAAGCTATAGCCCAGAACATCTGGAGAATACCACTTCGAGGCGGGTTCTTCCAGCCTTTTCTCATAAGGAAGGTGTTCCAGCCTGTTGATTGTTGTGGCTGTTCCTCTGGCAGCTTCAGTGGCTGTTTGATTATAATATCTTCTCTGAGATGGTGACTGGAACATTTGGGGACAATCTGAACCACCTTTCCAAACCAAGATATGTTCCACATGCATTTCAGTTGATCCAGTCTATGGGCATTTATAACATCCAAAAGGGTGAAAACTGCCATCTGTATGGTAGCATCCGGTTCAGGATGACTCAGCCCTGAAGAATGCTGTAAAAAAAAATTCTGGGTCATCTCATATATTAAAAAAAAATCTGGTATTTTAATTTTAGTTCTTAGACCTTACCAACTGAGACAAGCTGTAAGAAGAGGAAAATTGTTTTTCAAAGCACTTATGCCCTATTTATATTTCAGTATTGCCTGAGCAGGGCAGAAGCAAGAAGAGATGCTGCCAAAGTGGCTCTGATCAATTCTCTCTTCAATGAGTTGCCTTGTCGCAGGATCACAAAGGAATTTATTATGGAGAGCATTCAAGAAGCGGTTTCCTCAACCAGCGTAAGTACCCATCCTGAATTGTGTGTGTTGAATTTGTCATCAGCTGCATAGATGGTAAAGCTACAGACAGGAAGGAAGGGATTTGTGTTAAGATTCCTTGTAACACTATCTCTATTGATAAGTTTCTGCCATGATGGTTAACAGGTCTTTATGACCTTTCCCTCCTTTGCATGTGAAGCCTACTGTGCTGCCTGTGGGATGAAGGGCTAACATTTGGATGTGGGCGATCTGAATTTCTGTTGGCCTGTGAGGAATGCAGACACTCACCAAGCATTCAGACGGGCTGCCCTGCTGCGTGAGTGGGCTTGCTACCAGTCAGGAGAGCTTCTTTCCTGGCAGACGCTTGGTGACTGAATGCTGATGACTGCACTTCTTCAGGGCACGTGGGCCAACGCTGCTTGCCCTGCACGTGCAGCATGAGGAGCAGCAAGCAGGGATGGCAGCCCCGCTTCCCACTGACCGGCTTCTCCCTGCTCACTGCTGCCACCTCGATTCCTGGCAAGTGCCCCGTAAGCCCTGGCCCACTCACCAGAACGTGGACCATGGGCCACAGCAAATGGATGGGAACCCAGGAACCCAAAACAAAGGGATCTGGTGGATTCTCTGCAGAAGATGGATTTCCTGCACATCCCTAGTGATAGCAACCCATTAGGAAATGATTCCATTAACTGCCTAGCACTATGTTTGGGAAAGAAAGTGGCAAGGCCTGGCATCACATATGCCAACAATTATCCTGGTCTAGCAGGATAGCTGGGTAGCAGATCTGGGGTGAGGAATTCTACAATTCGTTGGGCCCAATAGTCTTACCAGGCTCTCTAGATGGTTCACCAAAAATGGTAACCAAGTAACCAACTAAAGCATATCTGAATTGCCTTGGCTGTTCTGTACTCAATATATGAAAGAAAATATATTTCATTAAATGCATTGTTTAGATGTGGCTCATCTTTCCCAGCCTGAAACTGGAAATATTGCCTTACCCATCAGTCGGACATTGGCCCAATAGAAGAATATCTGCAACATACTCCATCTTCTTTCATGCATATGTTAGTGTATCAATTAAGAGTAATGTTATTAAGATAAATGATCAGAAAAGCTCGGTCATATCCTGCCACTTTTCCCCAAGGAATGCACACATTCTTGAAATGAATTATAAAAATGAGGAAAGCCAGTAATAGCCCCAAGGCTAAACCAGTGCTGTAAAGTATCCCTGCTCCTCAATTCACTTCCCTGCATCTCCATTTCAGTCCTTTTTTCTTTCCTACATTACAGCCTCTGGCAAGGAAATGCGTTGGCAATATACCCAAACTGAATCAGACTGTTAACATCTGCATTTGAGCTTGGCTGCAAGGGGGGTTTTGTGTGTGATGGTTTCGGGTTGTTGTATTTTGTCAACAGCTACTGTGTTCGATCATGGAAATGGCCACAGTGACTAACAGTTAGTGATTCCTATACTCATTATGCCTAACTTGAGCAAGCAATGTCCATGCAATGATACAATACATATGTATTTATACACATACCAAGGCACCATGTAAATCCAAGCTAATGTGCTGGAAAAGAACTTTCAGTACCTCATTAAATTATTGATTTGTTAAAATTAAGACTTAGCATTGGTCTCTAAATAGTCACAAATGCATATACTCAGTTAAAAGCTTTTAAGAAACTCGCATAATTCTTTGTAATTGTTGACCTAGGCTTTCAGTTCCTTAAATTTCCCCATCTGAGCAACTGGGTTTGGAAGATACCTTTTTTTCCCCCAAACTTATCCAAGAGGCCATTAATCCTTGTATATAATTAACTCAATAATTTACATAGAGCTTGAGTGCGATGCCATCTGGCTTCTGGGCATAGGTTATAGAATGCCTTAGGCTGAAAGCCAGATTTTCCTGCCCCTTGGATTACAAATAAAATATCACCAAAATAAATGATAGAAGTGATTTCTGTATTGTCATGGTGAAACTGTGTCTGAGTGGATCAGGTGTTTGAAATGAGTAAAAGTAAATAATTTTATACTTTCGGACAAGTTATTTTGCTTCAATATATTGCTGTCATTGAGAGCAACTAGGAGAAAAATGCTAGTTCGGTAGAAGTATGTGGTTAATCCAATAAAAGATACAACCAAGCTCACAGAAGTTTGACAAAATGCTGGGTCGTTTAGAGATGTGTGCTCCAGCAGCATCCAGACTTAATGAAATCCTCCCATCTCTGCAGAAGGAATTGCTGATAAGGAGAGGAAAGATTGAAATGGCTTGGGAAGAAGGTTAAGTGCAGTGGGCCTCTGGTGAAATGGGTAATTTGAAATGGTTCCTCTTCCATCGAAAGTCTCAGTTATAAGATTCAGGGGAGGTGGGAGTGCTTTTCTTTAACTGTATTTGCAGAGCTGGGGTAGATCTGTTTGTGTGGATGAAAGAAGCCCTTTCTTCTCAAGCTTCTTTATGAGTCTTATGTCCCTTTTTGAGGAACAATGCTATGCATACGTTTTGGGAAATGGGCCATGATTTATTTAGATGTGATTTTGAAGAAAGAAGGTTCCTTTATGCAATTCATCATTTTTTATGGAAATTTTTCTAAGGCAAAAGCTTAAAATTGCAGAGTTTGGAGCTGATGTCCTCGGGGATGTTTAAAAGCCAGCATAAATATTTCAGCAGCAGTGTGTTAATGTTACTGTATTTCAAAAGCCATAAATTTGCTGACAGTTCTGCTAAAGAAACTGTCTCGTGTACAATGTTGGGTTCAGCTCTGCCTTGCTTCTCCAGAACATGAAAGCATATAAAAAGGATTGTAAGGATTTCACCAACATATTGTCACTTAAAGGAAAAAAATAGATCCCAGTACCACTGTGGATAAAGCTCAAGGGAAGAAAATGATCCCTCCGCCTGTACATGCCTATGTCAAACCAGAATATTGACCCACTGAAGGAGAATGTGTAACATTATATACTCCAGCAACTTAAGATATGAGCTGCACAACTATGGCATATGCCTCCCAAGGGATGGGCAGATTTTTGGTGGGTGTCGGTTCTGCTTTGACTTTTGACTCTGCTGCAATCTTAATGTGGAACTGGACAGATGCTAAGCTCTACTTACCAAGACCAATGATAAAAGTCACATTAAATTTCCACCTCAGAAAGAGGGAGAAGGGCAAGCGGGCAGACAAGCAGCTTGTGAAGACTACACCACAAGCCCACTCTTGTCCCAACTGGACCATCAGAGCCACAAGGTCCTCTCAAACCAACTATTCTGGTACTCTGTGTTAGCAAAGCAGGACTCACATTCTGGAGTGTTATGGGTCAATTCACTTCAAGGGGAGCCTTTGGCACTCCCTTTGATGTTTTCCTAGCCTGAGGACATGACTTTCCATCACCTTCTGATTCTGAGGGTAACATTTCTGCAGCTTCTCCTGTTCCTTAGCCAAGCAGGAGCACTGAGACCACAGAAACATGCTCTGGCTACTTAAGAAGTATGGTCAGCATCCAGCAGGAGCGAAAGATCCAGCTCTGCCAGCTTTCTTAAGACCTCACATGTAAGGACAACAGTTAGGACAACAGTTCCCAACGGGAGAATACTCCTCCTATAGTGTGCTGTCCAAGGTCCTGATGTGACTCTGTTTTGCCTGACATGAGCCAGAACAGACAGTAGCTGCATTCACACGTGACACTAAACCACAGTGTGGTGGGAATTCTCACCTGGCTGTTGCATTCAGATGAGCATGTGGTTTCCATACTTGCATGGTCTCCATCCCCTTCCCTCACTCCCTCTAATGGCAGCAGGTCTCCCATCAGCCTCTGCAGCTGCAGTTCAATCCTGGGGGGTGCACTGCTCCTGCCCCCTTTTCTGCATCTCCCTTTTTGGTCTGTGCATTCCTCTATGTGGGTCCTCAGCCAGCTGCTTCTGGTATTTTTCTACCCTGCTTAGCTGAAGCAACCCCTGCTAAAAGTAGTGTGGAACACTTCTCCACTGCCAGTGATGCTCCAAAGCCACATCTGGAGAGCAGCAGAGAAGCTGGGGCAGAAGGGAGCATGGGCAGGGTTAGGGCCCACTGGAGTGCTACTGGAGCTGATGCATCAATTCCTAGGCAGATCTGGACAGCAGAGGCTGCAGGCAAGAGCATCTCGTCCAGCAGCAACTGCAGCAGAGCATAATCCATGTTTCTGGGATTGCACTATTGAACAAGACATGGTGAAGTATGGAAGCCATACAGCAAACCCTTATAACTCTCCATGGTTACATGGAAACCAAGCATACCATGCAGGAAGGCCCTGACTGGATTCAGACAACATAACCAACCATACCATGATGGTTTCCACCATGCCTTGTCATTATGTCTAAACCTGGCCAGTGGGTGTTGTGTTGGAGCCTAGCTCCTTTGGCCTTCATGCCTGCTGGGCACAGAATTCAGAGGAGGAAGGGAAGAAGGTAGAAGGATGCAGCCAAAATAGTACGCCAGATGCCAGCTCCTCTTTGGCTGGTTTTGTTTTAAAGGTAGTTTTTAATAGTATACATTGCATTTTATTGATTTTTGTGAGTTGCTTTAAGGTCTCCAGGCAAAAAAGTGAGCTATAACTCTATTAAATAAGTGGCTGCGTACATTAATCTAAGACAGCAGAGACAGCATGCCAAGTCTCCTGTTTGATAGGAAATGTTAAAATCTGCTGCTCCCCAGGACAAACTGAAAACAGACTTCCCACAGCGGACTTGTACCAGCCAAGACCACACTTGTTACCTATTTATAACTGAAACCTTGAAGTATGTCTGAAGCTTGTTATGAAAGTTTCAGAAACTTCAATTTATGTTAAGGGCGTACCTCAAAGGTTTTAAACCAGCAAGGATAACCTTTATGCATAAATTGTGTATCCTGCTGTGAAGCTTTAAAAAATCAGCAACAACTTGTGTCCCACCCAGTTCCTCGATGATGATGATCATAAGAATGAGTATAAAATGGTCAGGATTTTATCTCGGCTTCTGAATCATGACAGGTGTAAATTGAGGATGTGAAAGTGTCTTGCTTTTTTTCCTACCTAGAAATGTGTTCATACAGTTCTGAAAGTTTTGCCTTTTCCATTATAGGGTACTTTAAATGATGCAGATGATCCGAGTACAAGTATTGGAGCCTACCATTACATGCTGCAATCAAATGTGGGGAAAACAATGCTGGAGTTTCAGGTAATACGCAAGCAGTCATAAAATTGGGCAAGAGGGATCGTCTATGAATAGACCTTCTTGAGGAAAGCAGAACCTGGAGCCAATTATTATTACTGATTCATTGTATTTATATCCTGCCCCTTTCCCCTCTTACTAGAAACCCAAGTTACATTTTGTCCTCACAACAACAACTCTGTAAGGTAGGTTAGGCTGTGAGTAACTGTCTGGCCTCAAGTCACCCAATGGAAATGCTGGAGTTTCCTGACTACGTGAGGGCTAGAATCTGGATCTCCCAGGACCCCATTCCAGTGCTCTAATCACTAATCTACCTTTTCTTTCCTGGATCTCCATTCCAAATGTCCAGTCTCTCAAATAGTTTTAAGTGTAATCATAAACCTATAGTTTCTGAAGTTAGTACCACTGTGGGTTTACTCCCTAGTTAGAGGATGCTTCTGTTAAAAGTATGTGATGATATGATATGATGTTTCATATCTTAGAATTTCTTTCAACATGACTTGCACAAATCAGGTAAGACAAAAAAACAGCATCTAAAATGTTCTTCAACACTGAAAAATGAACTTTCAAACCCAGCTAGCTTGTGTCTGTACACACACAGAGAAACATATTTTTTCATAGTTTGTTAATGATTGTGATTTGACATTTCCCTCTTATCCAGTATTTTCTGGATTTGATTCTAGTCGCTGAGAAGTTGCCTTTTATTCATCCCTGCAATGATTTTAGTATGTCCTGCAAAAACTAAACAGTCTGAAGTGATAGTACTTGATGTTTCCCAAACCACTATCCAGCTCATATTTTAAAATTTGTCCAATGAACAAACTTCCTTTACAAGTATAGCTCTACATATTTTAAAATACATCCCAGATAGTTTTTTACAGTTATTTTTCTTGGGCCTGATGAAAGGCAGACCATGAACTTTGCCTGTTGTTAAAAGAGTAGAATATCTAAGCTGATGCAAGACTTCCTTTTGGGGATAAATGACAGAATGACTGTGAATAAGAATGTTCACAAAATGGAACCAGTTCCCATTTACTTGAGACCCATTTTATACAAGCACCAGGAAAGCAGTATCTAAGTTCTTACTAGAAAGAATGCTTCCAACTTCTTGCTTTATCTTTTTGACTCTCACTGCCTTTAGATAACAGTGAAAGCATGCATGTAAACAATTGTGGTAGGTCTTTCCATTATGCATGGTAAAGTAGGCATTTCCATAGTAAAATTAAGAAGTACTTGATTTGCATTACTCATCCTTGTATCATAAGCTTGGTTCTATAATTTTGAAATTAAAGGCTCTAGTCAGTGATAAACTGACGAGACTGTTCTTAAATAATTGGGTCTGAACACTTTTAAAATATCTAGTTATTAACTGCTGCTGTTTTGGTAAATGTTGCCCATTTCAGGAAATTTAGGTGCAGAGGAAACTGTTTTGTGATGTAGAAAGCCAGTCTTAGTTCCACTCAAATCCATGTAAAAACATTCCAGAGTGCAATGGGAAATGAAAAGAGTTGAAACTTAGGGTATTTCCAGTTGGAGAGCTCCAAACACTAACATCAGAAGTCAGTTTGTTTGTTTGTTTGTTTGTTTGTTTGTAGCTTTTATAGACCATCCCATTACTAACGTCTCGGGATGGTTCACAACAAGCCCAAATAAAAATGGCACAGCATCCAGCAATTCACAATAAAATCACAATTAAAACCAATTAAACATTAAAATAATGGGAGAATAATTACATAAAGGAGGAGTGCAAACTGAAAATGACGCCATTGTGCCCACAGTAAAATTCTGTGAACGAAGCAGAGTGACAAAATAAAGCACCCTTATGCTTCTCTGGAAACACCTAGATCAGGGGTGTCCAAACTTTTTGCAAGGAGGGCCAGATTTGGTGAGGTGAAAATGTGTGGGGACCGACCATTCAGCCTGACATTCTTTGAATCATTAACATTAAATGCGAATGAACTATTTTATGAAAGACTAAACAAATAACCGCACTAATGTGAAGGGTGATACTGAGATCTCGACTACATTATATAGGCCAGGTCTGGCTTAAAAACAGTGGTTTTGATGCGCAAGATGCCACGCAGGTGAAAGTCACTTAGTCTTGTCCTCAAGCGGTTCTTGTTAATGTTCCTAACCGAGAATGTCTTCTCGCACAAGTATGTCGAACTAGACAAGCTCAGCATTTTCTTAGCAAATGTTCGAATCTCTTGGAACCTGTCTTTATCCAGCTGGTGATAAAAGTTGACAAGAGGGAGCTGTTGGTGCTGACTGTGACACTCGGCGTCACACTGCAGCTCAGTGAGCTCCAGCTGCAGGTGGTCTGGAGCGTCATCAGGGTCCACAGAGAAAGGAGATGAAAAAAGCATGATCTCCTTTTCAATAGCTGCAAAATCCCGAAAGTGCTGTTGAAACTCCTCAGCCAGAGATGAGATGTCTGCTTCATACCTCCTTATTTGAGCACTCATATTGTTCTGTGGAAAACTGGTCATTATTTCCTGCAGCAATGGGAAATGTGTGGTATTGGGCTGCGTTTGTGACAGGTGCCTTTGGAAAAGTAGCAGCTTGGTCCCAAAGGTTTTGATATGTGAATACAGTTGGCCTACCACTGCATTTTGCCCCTGAAGGCTCGAGTTCAGCGTGTTCAGATGTCGTGTTATGTCAACTAAAAATGCAAAATCAGCCAGCCAAACAGGATCAGATAGCTCTGGCATCGATTGTCCCTTTTTTGCCAAGAATTGTCCGATTTCCTCCCTAAGAGAGTAGAAGCGCTGCAGTGCAGACCCCCGACTGAGCCATCTTACCTCGTTGTGATACACAACATCTCCATATTCAGCCTGGATGTCGAGTAGAAACTGTTGAAACTGGTGGTGGCACAGGGCTTTGGAGCGAATATAATTAATAGCCTTCATCACCGGTTTCATAACAGGATCATATTTCAGAAGTTTGGCACAGAGAACTTGTTGGTGAATAATACAGTGGAATTTTATAGCTTTGCCTCCTCCTTTGCTGACTTTGTTACAGACTAGGGTTGATAATCCACTTCGCTCACC